GAATTTGTGAGCCTCTTCCAGCCTTCTTCTACAACTCAGCTCCTAAAACACGGACACCTGTGTCTACACGCCAGGCTGAAGAGTGGAGGATGCTTCTCTGGGGAACATGAACAGCCCAAGAAGAAAGGCCAAAAAAATAGGTGCTCCAAAGAAACCATGCAGCCAGAGCAGCCTACAGCTGACAGACCTTAGCTACATACTCAGAGTATCCACTGAGCCGTTTAGTGCCCACTCTAGAGCAACAGCCAACCAAGGGTCATCAGACATCCAAGGAAGGCCTTTAACACAAACAAGAAAAAGTAACCTGGGGGTGCGGGGTGGAGAACAGACACTATATCAGGAAGAAGAAAATGTCAAGAATTATCCATTGAGAGCTAGCCCAGATGGCCTAGTGGTTAAAGTTCGGCACACTCTGCTTAGGAGGCCTGGGTTCATTTACTGGTCACAGAACGACACCACCCATCTGTCAGTGGCTGTGCTGTGGTGGTGGCTCACACAGAAGAACTAGAGGGACTTACAACTAGGATATACAATCATGTACTGGGGCTTTGGGGAGGAAAAAGTAAAAACAAAGAGGAAGATTGGCAACAGATGTTAGCTCACAGAGATTGCTTCTCTAAAACAAAAAAGTATCCACTGATACTGCATTCATGAGACAGGACTGGAATGTTATTTAAAATAATACAATAAAAGGAACATTCAGAGAGTAAATAAAAGCATTTGGAAACTAATATAGAAGACATGAAAAATTTAGTGAACACTTGGGATATAAAGCAGAGGAAATTTGCCAGAAAGTATTATAAAAATACAAAGTGAGAGATAAAATAAATGTAAAGAACCAGTGCAAGAGTTGCAACATCCAAATAACAGGGCTTCCAGAAAGAACTAAGAAAATGGAAAAAAAGTGGAATAAGTCAACATAATTGTCCAGCACTGAAGGATAAGAGTTTCAAGGACTCAAAGGACCTACGAAGTATCCAGCACAACAAATGAAAACAGGTCCAGACAAAGGTTCATCACACACGTTTCAGAACACAGGAACAAAATGAAGATCTTACCAGCTTCCAGATAGAAATGACAGATCCCGACAAAGATCAGGAAACATAATGGCTTCAGAATTCTCAGTAGCAACATGGAAATAAGAATTCAATGACACAATGTCTTCAAAATAAAGGAAAATTATTTCTAACCTAGAATTCTATACCTAGCCAAACTAACAAATAAATGTAAGGTAGAATAATGGCATTTTCAGACATGCAAGGCCTCAAAAATGTAGTTCCCTTTTTTTAGAAAGCTACCAGAGGACATGATCCAGGAAAACAAGGACACAATTTTTTAAAAAGAGAGAGAGAGAAGACATCAGATTCAGGAACCAGGGACTTCAACATGGAGAAAGATGAAGGGAACACCCAGGATGATGGCAAAGGGAGAGCCCAGGACGACAGTTATCCTCAATAAATCGAGGGTAAACAGTCCTAACTGGAACAGATCAGAGTGTTCTAGCAGATATTTCTTTTAGAAGATGAAATTAATAGAACATTCAATGCACAGAATGTTCTATCTGAATGTGTGGAGAGATGCTGACAGAGAGTTTGGGGTTAAATGTGTGATAAGTATATAAAAAACTAAGTAAACAATCAAAAAGATAATGATCAACTCCAGCAAAAAGAAAAAGTTGTGCAGAAAGGGTAAAACAATAACGTTTTAAATGATTCATTGTGAATGATGTTTACATAGTCATAATGTAATCACTAAATATTGATCCAAATTTTGATATAACTATATTGAGAGGAGGGAGGATTGGGAAGTGTGTGTGTGTGTGTGTGTGTGTGAGCGCACGCGCGTGTGCGCTTGCGTGTGTGTTGGGGGTGGAATGAAAGGAAGCTAAATTCTCATCTTCGGCAGTGAAAAGTCAATAGACAATGCCTAAAACTAAAAAACCAAGAAGTACCAATATGAGTGTGATATTGAGGTATGTGGACTTGAATCCTAAATGATAAGAGAAAAGAGTTGAAAGCCCTTGGCTCCATGGAGAAGGACATTGAAGTGTGCCTAAAGTAAGGAGGAAAGGATGGTTACATAGGTACTCAGAGTTTTTGGAACAAATCCTGGAGAACATTTGACTTTTAGCCACATGCATTTTGACAACAAAAAGAAGGAAAGGGAGGAAAAGAAGGAGGAAAGAAGGGAGAGAGGGAAGGATAGAGGAAGGAAGGGAAAAAGGGAGGAGAGGAAAAATTTTAGAGACAAAATAGAAATAAAAATGAGATGCAGTCTAATAGAGCAAATATACTTTTTATAGAAAATGAAAACTAAAGTTCAAAACATCTTTTAAAAATTATAAACTTTAAAAAAATATAGATGGATCTACGTGTCTCCTAGCTCTCAATTTTATATCCACCTGCCAAGTGGCAGCGTGTAAAAGACGTGACATGTTCACGCTCTTTCCCCCCAGACCCTCTTTCTTCCATCATTTGTGAGTGATGACACTTTCATATCCGGCTTCATTCCCCATCCCCCACATCCATGAAGTCTCTCCATTCTCTACTATCTCAGGTCATCATCACCTTTCCCAACTGGTTTGCCTGCTTCCTCTCTGTTCTCTACCACGCAGGCAGAGTGATCTTTCTAAAATTCAAAGCCAATCATACCACTTTCTCGCTTAAAACTCTACAAGGGTTCCCACTGCCTTTAGGATAAGGTTTGCACTCCCTAACCCGGCATATAAGACTTCATGATCGGACCTCTGATCACTTCTCTTGAGCTTCATTTCTTAACATTCCCAGGAATGCCTTTCCCATCCCACTTGTTCTCTAAGTTGCAGCCAGCCATGCTGAAGTCCTTTGCGGGTCCTTAAGCCCAGGCCGCTTTCACCTCTGAGCCTCTGCATTGCTGTGCCCTTTATTCTAGAAGTTCTTAAACTAAAATTATATGCAAAATTATGTGTGTGTGTGTGTCTATGTATGTATACACAAATGCACATGCATAAATACTTGCAAATGGGGCTGGCCCCACGGCCTAGTGATCAAATTCAGTGTGCTCTGCTTCAGCAGCCTGGGTTTGGTTCCTGGGTGTGGACCTACACCACTTGTTTGCAGCCATGCTGTGGCAGTGACCCACATACAAAATAGAGGAAGATTGGGCACAGATGTTAACTCAGCAAACATCATCCTTAGCAAAAAACAAAAACAAAAACTTGCAAATGATTTTGACAGTATTTACAAGTCCCCTGAACAGAAATTTTGGCCCCACTTTAAGAACCCCTTCCTTAAGGTATAAGCAAGCTGCCAGCTGATATCAAAAAGTTCTGAAACATATTATTCAGAATTGTTGCATACAAAGCACACATGAATTATACATATTAACTATCTTTTATGTCACTGGAATGTTCTCTATTGCCCTTCTTCCCAAAGAAATTTAACAATTATTATCTTGAAGTTGGTTTCCCTGAGAAGAGGTCACTCTAGTGAAAAACACCCCTTCACCATTCTGAGAACAGCAAGATCCTAGAACTTGAATACTTCTGCCTCATAAGAATGCCTGAGCATGCTGTTACAAAAAAAAAAAAAAACTTAAAAAAATTTGGATGATATTAGATGAACAGCTGTGTAGAAAGGAGAATGTAAAAATAAAAACTGCATGTTGGAGCATCAAAATAGTAACCATGTACAGTATATGACTGCTTTTAATCAGATGAAGATTGAAGCTATTACATTTCAAATCAAATGTTATAAATTAGTTCAAGAATGCAGCTGAGCTCTCATTTAATTAGAAATGTCCATGTTTAAATCATGAGGTACAGTAGCTGCCAATGAATCAAAAGGGCAAGGAAAGGGAGAGATCCCGCGCCCAGACCCTCCAATCGTCAACTGCCTCCTCTGCAGGACAAACATCTGGGGAGGACTCGTCCTGATGTAATGAAGAACTTCATGTGCTGGCGAATTTGAGATTTAATGTAATTGAACGTAACTGTTCTGAAGACAATTAGAATCATTATTCTGGTCTGGACAATGCTGAACTCTTCATTTTTGTGTGAAATGTATTTCCGCCCCCTGCTGAATTTTAACTCTTTCTTGGATGAAAAGTAAAGCAAATTCTGGGCCAAGATTTCCCCAGGAAAAAATCCATAGACTGTCAGGTCCCATTAAAATGTGGCAAAAGCAGCGAGGTTCTCCTTCGGAAATAGGTCTCTTTCCCCGATTCTAATGCTTGATGTAGCTCAGCGAGCACCCAAGCTACGTCCTAAATGTTAGATAATTCACCATTAAATAAAAATGAGGCCACATCATACAGGGATTTCTGAGGTCATACAGAGAGAATGCAATTATCCTAAGGCGGGCTTTCCCCCAAAGGTTATGAGCCCCTCCACATCTCGTAATTAACCGTGGAGCAGCTCGACAGTCCAGGCAAAAGGCCTTTCTTTTCTCCCAATTTGCCTAATTCAAAAACACCTCAAGTGACATAGCTCAAATTTTCCAAATTAAACTTACCCCTGGGGCTGGAATCAAGCATGTGACAGTCCAGTTCTAAAGCAAATCTTAAAGAGAGTTGTGCAGAGGGAAAAAGAAAAAAAAATCAGAGGAAAAAGGGGTAGGAGTTAACATTTAAGTGGTTTTTCAACCTCATCATTACTCCTGCTCAAGAAAATAGGACACAGATGGGCAAAACATACCATCGTTCTGCCCTGAAGAGTCTGAGGAACTCATTAGAAACTACTGCCGTTTCCTCATGATCTATTGTGAATTTGTAAGGGACAAAATGATCGATTTGCTGCATCCCACAGCATTTAGTGTTCCACAGTGTCGTGGAATGGAAAGTGGAAGGATGAGTCACAAAGACCCAGTGTGCCACTGTAACCTGTGAAAGCAGACTGCTCACACAATTCCTCCAGGATGACTTTTCCGCGGGAGTTGAAGAGTGATAATATTGTCACAAGCTGTTCTGATTAGTAAAAAGGATTTTCAATAAGGAATAACACACTCCCCCAAACTTTCTCTTACTTCTGGCCACGGCTCCACACTCTTCCACACTGACACCAGACAAAGGGTAAATTGGAATCAGGTCCACCGCTCCCAGACAAGGGTGGACCCCCTCTTGAAGCTCCATATTGATGGACTGGAAGGCCTCCAAGCAGGCAGCCAGAACAGAATTGCCTTAAAAATGTAAAGTTGTAGAAAAGAATCATTAAACTTTCAATCGCATCTAAAGAAGCAGCTATAATTTTATTTTCCCACTAGTTGTTTTCTTTTGTAATCTGTACAGAAGATTGTTTTTCATCCAAAATAAAGAAAAATAGAAGATCCAACATTTCTCCTCACCCCACCTCCCAATTGTCATAAAATTTCACATTTCTTCCAGCTCTTTATTCCCCAAAGTGGAAGAATTACGCAAAGTTTATCCGTCTTAGACAACTTTGTATTTTTTTTACAATTGATTACTTTCAATTTTTTCAGTTTTATCAAATTAGTCTAACATTCCTTGTTATTTGCAGAATGTTGTATGAATTTATATCAAAATATACACACAAACATATAAATTTTTAAAAGCATAAGTATTTATTTTAGTTTTGCTCCTGTCCAGTGATTAGATTTTTCATTAAATTATTGTATCTAAATACACATTATAGACACCTAAGAGTTTCATGTTGTTACTCCAAGTTTTCATTAGCAGAGCAGGATGGCCATTTTAGCAAAAGAGATACACAACAAAGAAGCAAATTTTACATTTTAGGATTAACATTCCAGATAATCTGTCCTGTGTTTGCTGGGAGTTACCAGTCAGCTCTTTGTTCTCCAAACAAACATATCTTTTGAAAAAAGGCAATCTGCCAAATTGAAATCAAGTTTATTTGAAGATATCTTGAACGCTTTACCAAGCAATATTAAGATAATACAGGTTTTTGTTTAAACAATTATGATCGTTCAAATTCAAGCTGTCCCGCTAAACCTCACAACATGAGACAGGGAGCCCACTTCTTTCCAATCCATGAACCAACTCGAGATTTCAGGCTCCCGATCCAAAACACAACTGAATAGCATGTTTCACTCCGTGCCAACTTCTCAGTGAAATCAACACTGACTTCAACACTGTTACTTCGAAGGTTAAAACTTGAAAATATTTTTCTTAACCACAAAAGGTATGTGTTCATCTTCAAGGAAAGAATGTTATTAAATCTCGGACCCTAAAGTTCATTTTAATGAAGAGCAAATGGGAAACGCTCATGATGCACACGTTCAGAAAAACGACAAAGTGCAGTTTGGAGGTAGACTCTCTATGTAACGGAGGGAATATTCAGAATTACACAGGACATCAATGATTAAAGAGCGTTCAGCTCTCCCTGAAGCCTACCCTTCATCAAAAGACACAATAAGGAAACTGAAATCTTACCTAAGTCATCAACAGAAGCTGCTATTGTAATGACCGATCTGTTGTAGTCTCGATCAGAAAATATATTGAGCACGGATACTTCAGGGTGCGTCTGTCCTGTAAACAAAACAACACATAAACGCAAGACTTTTCTTTCTGCATTGAAACATTAACACTTTATTTCTTCCGATACAATTAAATTTAGTTTAATAGAAAAATTCTGGGGTGTGACCTTTCAAGTGACATTGGCTAATCATGAAATTCATGGATAGTAATGTCCACTTCTTATAGCGACTCCCTGTATAACTGGACGGCTCAGCTCAGACACCAGCCTTTGGTGTCTATGAGAGACCTTCTCTTGCACTTCCCACTGAATTTGCCAAAGTTCTCTGAACTCAGTCTAAGATGGTCGCCTCTTCTTTCAACTGCCAAATTATATCACTCTAAATTCTGCTCCTTATCAATCTCATCTCCTGGGCCTTGTCAATTTTTCCTTCCAGAACCCAGAAATAAAACCGTCTGGATCAAAATCTGACATCTGGAAAAACTAGGATAGGCCAATTAGTGCCTGAAGCAGAGGTTTCTGAGATGCATGCACCTGTCTGTTAGAAACCGTTCTGACTCCACCATCTCCTTTTCAGAGGCCACCAACAGCCTTCAGATGTTAACGACTTCCAGCTTTCGGTGGCTTCTGACTCACTTGAATGTGTAACCTGGAGGAGAAAGTTGCCATACCCTTGTATGGCAGCCACATATAATCCCAAAGTTATTTTTGAAGTTTACAAGCCTGGTTCAGGCTCCTAAAAATGTCCCCCCTAAGCCTACAAAAGCAAATTCAAAGTGAAGGACAAAAGTTTTCAGGCGGTAATTAAACCTCTCACTATGCCATTATACCTTTGTCGCCCTGTGCCCTGGCAGCTTAACAATTAATCTTTTCAGAAGAGAGGAAAAATAAGTTACATGCAGGACCTACAGAGCTTATGGCAGCCCTACGCTGTTAATTTTAATAACGTGAAAAGATAAACATATGTCACTCACCCACAGCCAAATGAGCATCTATACAGCCCAGCCTTGGGCTAGGTCTAAAATTTATAACCCAGGGTCCTCCACCTAAGACCTTTTAGGCCATTTAAACGTTTTCACATTGCTTAATTAGGAAAAATACAGGTGATACAGTTTTATTCCACTCACTTAAAAATAAATACCTTTAAAATATTTGTAAAAAAACAGGTTATTTTCTTAACTAGTGCTACCTTCCCTGCATTTTTAAAACTATAAAAGATGAAGCAAGAACAAGATCACACAACCTCCTATTTTATGTATTTTTTCAACACACTCTAGCTCCTGGAAGAAAAGAGATGATTTTATTTTTTCATCTGAAATCTTCTTCTGAAAAGCTTTTATTCTCAGTTTCACATAATTCAATTGAATCAAATGCTGAAAAAATGAACCACTCTCTCTTGCAATTTCTTAAGCATGCATATAGAAAAAATTACTGCTGGCAGGAGGAGCTGTCAGTATGAATCTCAGCAGAAGTAAACTGGTTGGTATTTGTAATGGAGTATAATAGCTATAATTCCATTTGAGCTGCTGCCACTAATAAGCTGATAAAAACTGTGAGTTGAGACCCAGGCATCCATCAGTGTGTGGCTTCCACAAATTTCTCTGCACAGTCACTTAATTATAGAGACAGGTAACCCAATCCCATTAGATGTGCTGAGTCTAATGTGAGGGGCCCACGCTGGCTCTTCCCGCAAAGCGAACGCAAAGGCACAGCTGCCTGCTGACTCCAGAGGAGCTTTCTTATCAGCAATTATCAGGAATTTTCATAGAAATTTCCAGCTCCTGCAAAGTTGCAAGACGGTAGCTTCAATATGCTCATCGTTAGAAATGGGCTGGGGGAAAACAATTCTCTCTCATGAAAAACAGTAACCAAATCAAAAATGACAAGCAGAAATGAAAATGCACTGTCCCAAAGTCTTCAGGGCTGTGGCCCTAATGCTCACCTGTTGCTAAGAAGCTGTTGATTTAATAACAAAGCATTCCTATCCAAATGATTGGAAGTCTGCAAATACCCTGTTTTCAGTGTGTGAGAGTAAAAAACAAATGATATCTAGAACCGTGTCATCACATGCACATTTTAACAAGAGTAAAAAGAAGGGTAGCATCTCTCTTAGTAAATGCTGGCCCAGGGAGTAAGCAGGCTCGAGTTCCCGTCTTCTGAAGTGCTGAGTGACCTTCCGCATACCACTCAAATGCAATTGCCTCGGAGTCTTTACACGGAGAAAATGGAGTAGAAATAATAACGCCGTAATGATAGCATGGGCTTTGCTAGCAGGAGTGCTTTGCAAAGTAGCTGCTATTTGGCAAGTTTATTTTTTATTTAACCCGCTGAATAAAAAAGCGTAATGTACAATTATGCTCATTCTATTAATGATCAAATAAACGGCACATGAGGGAATCATTAAAGCTTTATGTAAATATATTCTCCTCAGGAGCCTGTCAATATCCTGAACAATGCCCATTTCAGACACTGGCTCTCCAATGGGAAGAGCCACGCTGCGGAGCAGACACGGCGTTAGCAAAAGAGCATCTGTGCACATCGGAGTAACTGAGCTATCTCAGTGTCCTGGAGTCCTGCAGAAGCTACGACACCCCAAGAACAAGCGGGGACATCTGGGAAGAAAGAAGAGTGTTCTATAGATACTGTCTCCAGAGCACAAAAATTACTGCATTATGAAAACACTACATATTCGCTTCAATTGTCTGTTGTTCCCACCATTTTTTTCAAGAAGAGCTGCTTTTGCTATGTTCTCAACAATGTTTTTTCTTCTGGCTTCTGAAATGTTTAGTAAACAGGCAGCCAAACGAAGCCCCAGTCTGGAGGAAGACATGGTGATTTTTCTAGAATAGAAGAAAAATGAGTCTTTACTTCAGCCCCTACAGTTCATTCATATTTTCATGTTCATTAACAATAAAAAAAAATCAGCTTTTTGGAAACCGGCGGTCATAATATGAGCACTTCACTACAAAATCCTCAGATTGACTCAATCAGGAAACCATATATATGTGGTCATGCACATATGAACAGGGTAACACACTAGAAAATATGCAGCAAGTTAGCCTGAATCCTGTGACGTAAGTGCAACTTTGTCATGGAAGTGTGATCTTACATTTCAAGCATGGTCAAGCCTTAGCTTATCCACATTTTCAAGGTCTATGCTAGTTAACAAATAAGCATGATCCTTTCATCAAATGAGACTTAATGGGGAAACCCCAAAAAAGGGGAATGAGTGACATTATTTCATACGCTGATCCTTACAAAAATTATTCTTCTGGCAAAAAGAACAGGTATCTAACTCCGCGGGGCATGCCATAAGCAGTATGTGAACAAACGGAAGGGACTCACTCGGAGCTTCAAAGGACAACTCTTTAACTAAGTTCCTCTTGTACTTTGATCTCCAAAGTTTCTAAATCACAAGACTCTGTACCTTGAACTGAAAGCTGACATTTACTCTGTTATGCCCCTCAATAATGACAAAAAATATGACTGATTCTTTTGTGAAAAATAGATTAATTGCACAAATTTGGGAGGTTGCTTTCTTTTTAGTACTCCAGAACGGCATTTTTCAACTCATTATCTTTCCATACCTCATTTGATATGATGAACTAAAGAAATTTTAAGTATCTCAAAATAAGAAGAAAATAATTCCCCTTTTCAAGATCAAACCATCATATTTTGGCCTCTTTTAAATATCATAACCAAAAATGAACATGGCCCTCTTGAGTTCATTCTACAAATATTGGAGGAGAGTCATTTTGCGTCAGGTAGCATTCTCACTGTGGGGGATACCACAGCCAACGGTGTCCAGCTCTTAGCGTTTAAGCTAAGCTGTGCTCTGGTGCCAATAATCGTGCTCCCCACGCATAAATCTGCTGGCTTCTGTTCACTAGGATTGCTCGCTGGCCTCACTATCCTAACCTGGAGGGAAGGCAGGTGTCATGGCTAGTTCAGGGTGTTGGCAGGTTTTCATATTGTGACCATCATAATCGAAAATTCATAAAAATAGGGTCATTAGGTTTTTCTAGACATTAATAACATTGTTGTAATAAAGCAGCTCAGACTTCTCTCATTTTTATGTAAACAAAAAATTGCTTTACACAGGGGTGTGGGCGTCTTCTGGCTTTCATTTGTTTTCAGTGTGTTTATGTAGCTTAATTGTCTCATCAGGCACTTTCCCAACATAATTATGCTTTTTAACAAATGGTGTTTATGGCAACCCCTAACAGTGCAAAAGAAAGGATTAGTTTCATCCTCTCATTCCACATTTTGATTCCCTGCGGACAGCTAAATCACACAAAGATGGTGTTAGAAAAATCTACCTTCACAGCAAAAGCTGAAATCAGCAGCAGTACCACGCTTCTGAAGAGCAGTCAGGACTGTCAGTAAAAAGGGTAAAGACTTCTCTCCCTCCCCTAAAAAAGTGACCCAGAGCAAGCCCCCAAAACACTGTGGCTCGGGAGAGCGCGATCCTACATCGCCTGCTCGATCACTTCCGGCGACAGACCAAAAACCTGCCGCCCCAGGAGGAGCTGGCAGGGCCAACCCGGAGCGCAGCAGATCGCGACGGGCCCGCCGGTCACCTGCCTCCTGCGCGCGCACCACCATTAGCACCTGTAGGGTCGCAGAGAGCCTCGGTGACGAGGGGGCAGCGCGTGCTCCGAGCTGGAAGCCGCGGCGGGGACCTCCGGGGTAGGGTGTTCCAGGGTCACGTGGGCCGCCTGGTCACCCGGGAGCCCCCCGCGGCCGCGGCACGAGGCCGGCGGGAACAGCGCCGGGGGAGGAGCCCGGGCCAGCGCGGCGCGAGCCGAGTCGCCGCGGCCCCGCCTCCCGGGACCCGGGCGCTGCGGCCCCGCCGCTCTGCGGTCCTGCCTGGGCGGCCCCGGGGCGGCGGCCGGGAAGCCCGACGCTCTGTGTAGAAGTGCCCCCACTGTGTCATCCGGGAACTCCGCGATTCTCCTGGGTACATGAATGACTTCTTAAAAGCGTATTAAAATCTAATGATGAGGTCATTACCCATTGATCAGCCACCAGCAGGGGGCTCCTTCCTCTGGTGTATACACACACACACACACACACACACACACACACACACACACACACACACAAGCGGCATGCACCCCTTTGGTAAATTTCCTCCTGAGAAATATTTGTGAATGTGAGCGCTTGTGAATGTGAACTGGACTCACCCCAGGACAAAAGCAATACCTGCACGTGCCCATCAGTCAAAGTTACAACCAATATGAACCAAGCATTAAGCATTTCCCTTTTTTCTAGGCCAGCGAAACTTGAGAACACATTTCTCCTCCCTTAAGAAATGAAGACCTGCTTTTTTCTTTTTTTTTAATGTAGCAAGGATTAAATGTCACCATTTTGATCCAATTTCATTCCTGAAGTGAAATAATCACTAAATAACTACTTTGACGGAATAAATTAATTTTTAAATCTATTTTTTTATTTTCTAATTATACTTTTTAAACACAGATTTGAGGAAATTAACATTTATGTGGACATTTGGTTTCTAGCCTAATGTGGCATAAAAATAAGTAACATAATGAGTGTTAAAAAAAATCAGGTTCATGATGCTTCTCACATCATCATCATTGTGCTTAGATGTCACAACAGTATTATGTGCGATTGTGTCAGATCCAGCCTTCTCCATCTCAGAGTGTTGGCAGGTAGGAGGGTTGTTGGCAAGAGGAGGGGTGTTAACCTCAGGATCCTGGATCCATTCCAAGGCTGGTAATTACATTCTGCCAGCCAAAATTCATCCCATAATTTTAATTGGATAAATCCTTTCTGGCCGAAGCTACTGCTCTGCCTGTCAAACTGTTGCCACATTTCACCCCAGAGGTGTCTGTGTTTTACTTGCAAGAATCAGTCCCTTTGAGGTTGGCTTATCAGTTTAAATCCTCAAAGTGCTTTGGGATCCCATGGAATTAAATATATAATTAGGGTTTTTTTTTTCTACCAAATCTGCATAGAAATGCATAAAATAGATATATACCCATGTTAATGCCTAAAAACCAACGCCCATCTAATATCGGCAGATAAATTTGAGAGCATTTTACCCAGATTGATGCCCCTAACTTTCTCTTATTTCAAGAGCTTTTATTGCCTATAGCTTTAGCTTCCAATTTCCAAAAAGTACTGCAGTGTCCAGTTTCCTTCCATGGAGGACGATGGAACTGAAGCCCCTGCATTTCACCTTTGCAAACAATCCTATGATGAGACTACTTGCTAAAATGAAAGAGTCATAATGTTACATCTAGTCTTATCGTATGGCTCCACAGAAAACAGTGTGACAGCCAGGGAGTTAGGGTTCTAGCTGTAGCAACAGCCAGAACTACAGCTTTTTCCCCAGGGCTCCTAAACCTCTCCATGAGAAGCCCTCTCCCTCACAGGGCTGTGGGGGCATCAGGTAAGGTCATATTTCTGAAGGTATCAGCACCACACCAGAGTCACTCAGCAAACCTTAGTCCTTTTCTCCACTCTCCTCCTATCAGACACAAATGGAGAGAAGGCAGGCCCAGCGTTCTCTGTGGAGGGGGCGCCATCTGCCCTCGCCTGAGCAGTGTAAGCGTGTCTTTTTGGAAAAGCCAAGGAGACAGATACCAGCAAGTCTGAGGAGAAGTTTAGCAAGAAGATGGAAAGTTCTCTTCAAGAATGGAGAGGTACCTGTGGTAATAGTTCAGCTCTACTACTTGTAATCCTGCCCGTTTCATCATTTAAAAGAGCTTATGTTACATTTACGACGTCTGTATGTCAAGCCTCTCATTTTTATTTAACTTAGCATGCTTCGGAGGGATTTTTCATTCTTTTGGGGTGAATGTGTTATTCTGACTTCATTTCTGCTGTGTCCATGCTCAGGGCATTATTTCTCTTGCTCAATATGACTCCTGTCCAGAGACGGATAGCCCCAGAAGAGAGAACAGCTAAAGCCCCAGTGTCAGTCCTCTCAGCGACAGGTGTTTCCCAGCTCTCCCATTGGTTCCCTGTGAGACAAAGAGGACACTTTTCTGTCCCCTTCCATTTCATTTTTGCGAGCAGGGGGACGCAGTTCCCTTGGGCGCAATCCCAATGTCAGAGCTGAGGCGGCTGAAGGGGAGCCCCAGCCTTAGGGCAGCTCCGGGGGTCTGCTGGACCCCAGCGCCCGAGCTGCTCCAGCCGGGCCAGGACCAGTGGAGCGAGCGAGGCACTTACCGCAGGCGCAAAACTTAAGTGGGTCCCAAAAACTTGGTAATACAATACTTAAAAAGTCAAAATTAATGCAGAATAAGAAATCTGTGGTGAACCAAACAGAAGTTTAAGTAAAGGCAGGATCCTAGCCTGCACTCACGGGACTGCATCCCACTCGCCTCACCCTGACCCCGCCCTGCCGCCGCTCTCCCCTGCCTGCCGGCCTGTGTCTGATGGTAGGGGCCAGAGGAAACTGCACCGCTCTGCCCTGACTGCATCCTCTCTTTGGACCCCCAAAGCGGGCGACAAAACCAGAGATGTCAAGGGTAGAAATCTCCAGGCCAGCGGATACATATAACTTATAGTCTGTTCAAGAGTTTCCTAGACTTCCATATATAGGAGCTTGGCCAATTTATCTCAAAAGAAGGGAAACCCTTATTAGAACAAGGGAAAGAATCAACTCTACTAACCGAATACATTTCAGTTACATTTCCTGATAACGTTTCAGAATATGGTAATCAGAAAGTTTCCTGTTGTACTAGGGAATTTTGAAATAATGTTTTAAGGGACATTTTAACTAAGGCTATGAATCTGTTTCCTGTTCTCATATTCTGGCACCAGCCTGTGTTCAGGAGAACATGAGTGGAGAACGTCCCTTAGAAAGACAGAAGCCTACTTCCTTATGCAGTTGTTTCCTTTGCACATTGCACTGTCGCCGGATGTTTGCACTGTGTCAGGGTTCATTCTGCCTTCTTCCCTCCTCATGGAACAGGTTAAGATTTTATTTCTTCTTTCTTATAAATGTGGTCTGATAAATGAAGGATTAAAAAAAGTGACTTCAGTTGTGATTTTAGGACAAGTTAAGCGTGGAAGTGGTTGTAATTACTTGTATTAAATTATTTGAATCACATGATATTATGTAATATGTGTTCCATTAGTCATTTTCTAAAACAGCAAATGGGTTTCACTGCTGCCATTTTTAGTTTGGAGTGGGGAAGTTACGCTATTCATTTATTTTAAGTGAAGAAAAAGAGCTTCATGTCTGGAAAGAAGTTACAGCAACTAACAGAAATACGTCCATTGCCCATACATCTCTGCCTTAAGTCTGGGGAATGATCTCTAGCCATTTTTGTGTTATTGAAGGAGGAAAACACTGGCAAAATTTCCAGAATTAACCTTTCTTTCACTTGGGAAATGTCCTTCTCTTTACACAACATGGACTGGATTCTTCCTCTTTAGTTGACCGATCTCTTTATCCTGAAAGACCAGTAGGCTAGACTGGAAGCATAGTTATTAGCTTAAATTGGAATCACTTGTTATGCATCCCATTCATTCACACTCGGAACATCTCATGTAACTAGCCAGAAGTGAAGTCTATGATCCATCCAACCCCTAATTCATTCCTTTAGTTTTTCTACCTTCCATGTGATTATCCGGTTGTGTGTTCCTTTATTATGAAACCTAGGCATTGAATGGAATGAAGTGTCTCCTAGGGCCTCTCTCCAAAGCTGTTTTTTTATAGCTATTAGTTATATTGCAGATGAAAGGCAATTCCTAAATTAGACTTCAAATTTTTGCTGAATATTTGTTTTAACTTATGGGACTACATTAAGATTATTTCAAAAACTATTATGATTCACAAAATGTATCTTATTATATCCAGAAAAATGCTGGGAATGTTTAGAAACATTGTCCCCTAAGTAACAAGAATTTTTCTTGTGTTATGAGGTTTTTTCAATAAATATGTACTTAAAAATTCCAACCAGTGGGTGATAACTGCCACTCTTCTTTAAGAAAGATGACACATCTTGTGATAGTCACACTCTGTGCACTTCTAGGCACTTCTGTAATGTTGTTTAATATCCTATGTATCCGCAAGTGAATGTTAACTCTTACTGACACCAAGAGGGTAACCTCCTGTATGCGCAGGAATCAGAGATCCTGAACAGAAGCATTCCTGTGATGTCTGCGTGTCCTCACTCACATGTGTGTTCAGAGGCGTCCTTTGCTTTGAAAAGGAGCCCTTTGGGAGAGAATCACTTCTCCTACTTGGATCTCAGGACTTTCAAACTGAAGGTTTGAGTGAAGCTTTTCCTGCTGAATTGTTTGTCTTTTACTGTATATCTCAGTGTTTGAAGAGATTTAAAATTTTTTAATTTTATCTTTTCATTACATTTACATAGAAAATGTCTAATTTCTTAGGAAGAAGTGGGAAAGATTGGTTTTTTGGTGCTGGTGTTTTTAATGTTTTCTTTATCCTACCTTGTGCCTCTCAGTTATTATTCAGCTCTTTTACTTGAAACTCTTTGTTTTTGGAAAAGATTTGAAAATAAAAATTAATGGCACCTCAGGTAGAAGGCACCTTAGAGATCTTCGGTGCCTTGGTTCAAACGGTGCCTGATCTGAAACAAATAGGCCACAGAGGTGGCAGCCGGGCTTGTGATGCAGTGTGGGTAGGAGGTGGGCGCGGTGTGTCCCTGCAGTCCTACACTTTGCCCCACTCTTGCTTCTTCCATGGCCCCTCTCTGAACCCTAAGTCACCTTTGAAAACCAACAACTAGTTCAACCATTTTTCTGGGCCTTGAAACCCTTTTTACAATATCATACAAAGTTCTCACCTTTTGAAAATTAAC